GCTGGAGGATGCTCAGGCAGGGTCTGGGACCAGAGGTGTTTCTCTTGATGGAGACAAGGGTGGGTCCAGGGTCCTCCTATTGCAACATGGCAACATGGTGGGTCCAGAAGGTATATCTGCCCCCTCACCCACGAGGTGATCCGTACCTAACACAGAAGTTAAATAGATCAATAAAACTAATAATACAGTGACCTCATCTGAAAGTGCAAGTAGCATTTTACATTTGTAGCACACACACACACCCCCAATATTGTAAATTAACAGAAATGTTTTCTCTACCTCCTACCACTCCATGCACAGTAGGAGGGGAAAAGAAAAGATGAGAGAGAGAAAGAGAGAATAGATGAGAGAGAGAAAGGCAGATAGATGGATAGATAGATAATAGATAGGTAGATAGATAGACAGAAGGTAGGTAGGTAGATAAGGGAAGAAGGGAGAGGGATAGAGGGATGGATGGATAGATAAATAGATAGATATATGGGAAAGGAAAAGGAAAAGAAAAGAAAAATAAATTCCTTGTAACACATATGCATAGTCAGGGGAAACAAATTCCCTCGATGGCTGTTTACAAAAATATTTGTCTCATTCTGTACCCTAAATCTGTTACCTCTCTGTAATGGATAGAATGTTTTGTCATGTTGGTTTTTTACAGTGTTGTTACTGCATAGTTTGTTCTCTTGGTTCTGCTCATTTCATTTTAATAAGTTTATAGAAGTCCTCAAAATTGTTTGTTTTTATAATATTGAAGTTACAGTATAGACTGGTTCTGCACATTTCACTCTCTTCCATGTGTTTTTGAAATCTTCTGTTTCCTCATTTCTTACAACACAACTCCCTCACTTTCATATACCACTAATTATTCAGTTATTCCTCAATTGACAGGCATCCCCTTAATTTCCTTTCTTTTTTGTTTGTTACCACAAAAAGAGCTGCTGTAAATATTTTTGCAGAAAAAGGACCTGTTCCTCTTTCTTTGATTACTTTTGAGTGTAGGCCTAGCAATGGAATAGCTGGGTCAAAGGGCAGGCGATGTTTAGTAACTTTTTATGTATAATTCCAAATTGCTTTCCAGAATGGTGTTGAGTCTACCAACAATGCATCAATGTAGTTGTTTTCCCACAGCCCATCCAACCTTTGTCATTTTCCTTTTTTTGGTCATCTTTGCCACTCTGATAGGTGTGAGGTGGAATCTTCTCTGACTTGCTTTAGTAATGACTTGGAACATTTTTTTTATATGGTTGTTGTTAGCCTGGGCTTCTTCCCTTTAGAACTAGTGTTTATATCCTTAGACCATTTCTCAATTGAAGAATGGTTCTTTTTCTTATAAATTTGAATTAATTCTTTACATTTCTTGGAAATGAGACCTTTTTTAGAGAAACTTATTGCAAATATTTGTTTTCCCAAATAATTGTTTCCCTTTAATTCTTCTGTTACATTGTGTCCCAGATCTGTACCCCTGGCAATACTAGGCCCCTTATTTAGAAATAATTTCATTCCAAAATTTATCATTTCTTTTGAGATTCTGGACATTTCCACCCCTTAATATGAATTTTATTATTATTTTTCTAGTTCTATTAAAGTGGTCTTTTGATGGTTCAATCACATTGAATAAATAAATTGGTTTAGGTAGTATTGTCATTTTTATTTTATTGGCTCAACCTAACCATGAGCAATTAATATTTTTTTCCAATTATTTAGATCTATTTTTATTTCTGAACACAGTTTGTAGTTGTAATTATATAGATCTTGTGTGTATCATGGAAGGTGGACTCCCAAGTATTTTTCTATACTCTGTCATCATTTTAAATGGAATTTGTCTTTTTCCTTTATTTCTTCCCAATGGTTTCATTGGTGTCTTAAAAAAGTGTTGATGATTTATTTAGGAGCTTAATGAATGTTCAGTGACTTGAGTGGAATTGAATTGGATGGTTAAACTACACTGTTTAAGTGGCCCTAACTGTCCTCAGGAGGCTTTATGGATTTCTCTGAGGCACATGTTAAATGCAAAATTTAACCTATTTCTATTATCTGCAGCAGACTACAGCATAAAGCTAAATTTTATGCCAGTCAGGATGAAGAGAACTTAATATTTAAATATTTTAAAATATTTGAATAGCACTGAATAAACTGTTAAATTGCACTTCTGATCTGAATAATGGGTTTTGTTTTGTTTGGTTGGATTTTTCCAATTCACAAGTATTTCTTAAGTGTACTGTTATATACTGTGCTGGGCACTAAGGCTACAAGTAGAAAGAATGAAACAATCCCCACTAACAATGAGCTTACATTCTAACAGGGGTAACAACAAATACATATGAAAAATATAAAATCTAAGTATCAAGTTTGTAAATGAAAATGTATACAAGGGACTTAAATACAAGGTAGTTTGGGAGAGAGGGCACCAGCATTGGTATCAGGAAAGGTTTCCTGCAGAAGATGGGACTTAAGCCCCATCTTAAGAGAAGAGAGGAATTCTGTGAGTTGGAAGTAAGGAACGATTTCAGAGATGTAGAAGATCGCTATGGGCTGATGCATAGTGAAGTGAACAGAACTAGGAAAAACATGAATAGAAAGAAATCCAAGTTTGGGGAGTTACCCCTGTGAAGGAGATGCAGCCTGGCAACTGCTCCCTCGGCTGGGTTAGCTACATCTAATAAAGACTCAGAAAGGAAAGTTCTTGTCACCAAAGTTCTTAGCCCTGTCAAATGGTTCAGCATCAGAAATTATATGATTTTATTAGTGGAAATAACATTAAAGAAGAGGCATTAATATTGCTTTTCTGCTGCTCCCTAAAGACAATGAGGCCCTTCCATCTGACTTGCAGTTGAAACTTTCCATATGTGTTGTCTTAGTGATTAGAATGTGAGTTCCATGAGACGAAGGAATGTCTTACTTTTCTATTTTTATCACTAGCACTTAATATAGTGCAGGGGTGGGGAAACTATGGGCCTCAGAGGTCACATGTGGCCTTTTAGGTCCTCAAGTGAAGCCCTTTGACTGAATCCAAACTTCACAGAACAAAAGTAGTAATACTACTATTTATAATAGCAAAAAATTGGAATATAATACTAGACTGCTTATCTGTTGATGAATGACTGAAAAAAATATGGTATAGAAATGTAATAGAATATTATTGTATCAGAAAAAATAAAGAAACGGACAATTTCTGAGTAAACTGGGGAAACCACTATGCCTTGATGATGAGTTGAAGTGAGCAGAACTAGAGAAGACTTTTTTACCAAAACACTATAAAGAAAACCAACTTTGAAAGTTGATAGAGCCCTGATCACTGCAATGGTAAACCACAGCTCCTGAAACCTGAAGAAAGCTTGCTATGCTCCTCCTCCTCCTTTTCCTGTACTAAAGAGGTGACAGACATAAATAAGAGTCAGAATGAGGCCTATGACATTCAACAGAAAAGAGTTCTCATGTGGATAAGGTAGCTGGGCTAGCATATGGACTGTACACACTTGAGATGGGGTGGGATCTTTTGATTGACTCTGCCCCCACCCTTACATGAGCAAAATACATATTTTGTATTTTATATTAATGTATTTCATGTGTTCATACATGAAACGTACATGTTTCGACTACTTTTTTTTTTCTAGTGAGGATAAACTGATGCCTCAAGACTTCAAAACTAAGTCCTAGGGCTGCTAGGTGGTGAAGTGGATAGAGCTCTGGCCTTAAAGTCAGGAGGACCTGAGTCCAAATCCAGCCTCAGACCCTAACTTAGCTGGGTGTCCCTGAATAAGTTACTTAACCCTGTTTGCTTCAGTTCTTCATCTGTAAAATAAGCTAGACAAGGAAATGGCAAACCACTCCAGTATTTTTGCCAAGAAAACCCCCAAAAAAGGATTTTCCCCGTTTTGCCTAGCCTCAAAGCCAAGGGAGACATATCCATACAACCCAAGGGATATTTAAAATGGAAACAAATTATTTCTGACGCCTGTGACTCTGGCTGACCTGGCGCCCACATTCCCAGTTCTAGGGTTACTAATTATATGATCTGAGGCCTGTCACAGTCTGCTTTTTAACTTCAGTTTCTTCATCTGTAAAATGAGAGGGTTAAAATATATAATATATGAGGTACCTTCCGATTCTAAATCTATTTTTGTTGGATTTTATATTTGTGGTTTTAAATTTTATTTTAATGGATTTTATAATCTACTTTTTTTTTTATGGTATGGTTTCTGCAAAATAAGAACTAAGAAACCAAAAGAAGTGATCCAGGTAACAGATGGGAAGCAACAGCTTTTTTATGATGGGAAGCAATAGCTTTTTTTTTCCCCACCCTTGCACTATATTAAGTGCTAGTGATAACAGCAACAGTTATTTATAGAATGTGTGGTGAGACTTTCTCTAACTTGCAAATTACTTGTAATCTGGTTCTAAACATAGGTATAAGCCCAAATCAAGAAAAAACAGACCAGGTCTGGGAACAAGCAATTCAAGATAAAGGAGGGAGGCAATTGCTTAACATGCACTACCTTCCACTTGCAAAGAAGGGGACAAGCCTTGTTCTACTTTGCCATAATAACATCCCAACCCCTTCACAATGACCTGCCCCCTCCAAGGTCCAAGGGGCTACATCATCTTCTCCCTGCCCCAGGAATGAAATTACATCTGATGTTTTTCACTCATAAAGGTAAGAGTTGCAGCTTATTAATAAGTGTGGTGAGCCCTGCCCTCATTTGAAAGTTTGGGGGAATGTGGATGTGAAATAGTTCATGAATGAGACTTGATGTTTTGCTCAACAGTTATTACTCCTCCTTCCTTTTTTAAATCTTTTTTTTTTAAGTGATGGCTCACTAGTTAAGAGAATGACATATCTGGAAATGGAGATGATGTAAAACCAAAAATTATCAATAATATTTGATTTTTAAATAATGACTTTTAAAACTCTGATATGTTTCTGTCCTTGCTCTAATGATACTTAATTGGCAGCAGAGACAAACTAGTGATTACTTTTCATGATTTATTGAAATTTTCTAAATAAATATAATCATTTTTCTAATAAATTATTCAAACAGACAAATAAGAAAATATACATTACAGCAGTTAAATAAAGACCTAAATAGACAATATTTTGCTTGTCCTAACTAGAAAAGAAGAGTTGGAAGTAAAGAAAAAAAATCACTGACCCTCAGGGAGTGGGGCTCCCCCGTGATAGCAGTGGGGGAAAGAGCAAGTCCTGGGGCTTACTAGAGACATAAGTACTATTTGCACCTGTTGTTCATTAGCTTACAGTTTCCTTGCTAGCAAAAGTCATTTATTTAATCCACCTCTTCAATGGTGGGTCCAGGGGTGGGATTTGAATGGCGGGCCTGGGCCCCACAGCTGTTCCCTCCCTGTGAACCTGGTGCCAGGTACAGCTGGGAAATGATGGGGTGACACACTCGCTCTAGTTCCTTCTTCTGGTGTTCATACTCATCCTTCTCTGCCAGTTGGTTCACCTCCAACCAGGAGAGGACTTCCTGGCACTTTCCCAGCACCTTTCTCTTGTCTTCCTCCTTGATCTTGTCCTGAAGGCCATCCTCTTGCATAGCACTCTTCACGTGGAAGGCATAAGACTCTAGAGAATTCTTAGCCGTCACCCTTTCACGCTGAGCCTCATCTTCAGCCTTGTACTTCTCAGCATCCTGCACCATCCTCTCCACCTCCTCCTTGCTCAGCCGGCCCTTGTCATTGGTGATGGTAATCTTGTTGGCCTTGCCTGTGCTCTTGTCTGTGGCGGAGACGTTCAAGATGCCATTGGCATCGATGTCAAAGGTGACCTCGACCTGGGGGACCCCACGGGGCGCAGGCGGAATGCCTGACAGCTCAAAGCGTCCCAGCAGGTTGTTGTCCCGAGTCATGGCTCGCTCCCCTTCGTACACTTGGATCAGGACACCCGGCTGGTTGTCTGAGTAGGTGGTGAAGGTCTGCGTCTGCTTGGTGGGGATGGTGGAGTTCCTCTTGATCAGAGTTGTCATCACCCCACCTGCTGTCTCGAGACCCAGGGACAGGGGGGTCACATCCAGGAGCAAGAGATCCTGTACCTTTTCTGACTTGTCTCCCATCAACACAGCTGCCTGTACTGCTGCCCCATAGGCCACAGCTTCATCAGGGTTAATGCTCTTGTTGAGCTCTTTGCCATTGAAGAAGTCCTGAAGCAGTTTCTGGACTTTAGGGATTCGGGTGGAGCCCCCAACCAAAACGATGTCATGGATCTGGGTCTTGTCCATCTTGGCATCCCGAAGCGCCTTCTCCACTGGCTCTAGGGTTCCCCGGAAGAGGTCTGAGCACAGCTCCTCAAATCGAGCCCTAGTAATAGTGGTATAAAAGTCCGTACCCTCATACAAAGAATCAATCTCCAGGTTAGCCTGGGTGCTGGATGAGAGGGTCCGCTTTGCGCGTTCACAAGCTGTCCGCAGCCTCCTCACGGCCCTCTTGTTCTGGCTTATGTCCTTTTTGTATTTCCGCTTAAACTCTTCCACAAAGTGGTTCACCAGGCGATTGTCAAAGTCCTCCCCACCCAGATGGGTGTCTCCTGCTGTGGCTTTTACCTCAAAAATGCCATTATCGATGGTGAGGATGGAGACATCAAAGGTACCACCACCCAGGTCGAAGATGAGCACATTCCGCTCCCCCCTGCCAGACCTGTCCAGGCCATAGGCAATGGCTGCTGCTGTGGGCTCATTGATAATCCTCAGCACGTTGAGGCCCGCTATGACCCCAGCATCCTTGGTGGCCTGACGCTGGGAATCGTTGAAGTAGGCTGGCACAGTGATGACTGCGTTGCTGACGGGGTGGCCCAGGTAGGCTTCAGCAGTCTCCTTCATCTTGCTCAGCACCATGGAGGAGATTTCCTCTGGGTAGAAGGACTTGTTTTCCCCTTTGTAGGACACCCGCACCTTGGGCTTCCCAGCCTCACTCACCACCTGGAAGGGCCAATGCCTCATATCTGACTGAACCACCTGTTCAGAGAACTTGCGGCCGATCAGCCGCTTGGCATCAAAGACGGTGTTCTGGGGGTTCATGGCCACCTGGTTCTTGGCAGCATCCCCAATAAGCCTCTCAGTGTCCGTAAAAGCCACATAGCTGGGGGTGGTACGGTTGCCCTGGTCATTGGCGATGATCTCCACCTTGCCATGCTGGAAGACACCCACACAGGAGTAGGTGGTGCCCAGGTCGATGCCGATGGCCGTTCCCTTGGGAGCAGACATGATTCCTGGAAGACTCCTTCCCTTCCTCTTTTCTGGGACTGGAGAGGACGCTGAAGCGGCGTCTGAAGGTCTATGGAGAAAAGGAGGCAGTTGCGGCGCTTGGCTCTGATCTGATCCTCTTGGTCTCTCTCGAGGGAGGACGCTGACGGGTCCTGTTGTTCTGCGGCTGCAGCTCTCGCTCTCTGCGGATCCTCAGCCAGGATATGCCACCCTGCGCTCAGGGCCGGCCTTTTTATGCAGCTGCCGGGGACCCACCTCCCCCCTCCTCCCCTGGCCCGGAACCTTCTGGCGCTTTCGTGGAGAGCCGAGAGCCGGGATCCGCTATTTGAATAACTCCGCCCCTCAGCCTGGATCCAACCAATCAGAACCGAGGACTCGCCTCCTCTAGCAAATTCTCGGCGGGTCCGGCTCTGGCTGGCATTCTCGAGCAAGGGGGCGGAGGGGGCGGAGGCGAAGCTTGGAATGACTTCTGTGTGATGTCACAGCAGCAAGACCTGTTTTTAGAACTTCGGGCAAGTTCGCAGTTGTCCCCTGGGGTGGGCGAGGCATTTGTCAGGCGGAGGTTTCCAAGGAAAAGAAGCCCTAATTAGCATCATTATTGCCGGCCCAGAGAAATCCCCCTCATTTCCTGACATTAACTGTGCACCTGGCTGGACATAAGGAATGAAGGGCCTGGGCACCTCTTAAGTGTTCTAGGCATCACCCTTCAGGGTGGGACAAGGGGAAGACCCGAGAGGAGAGGGGAGTAGAGGGGGGAGCAAAAAAGGAGGGAAGGCTGGAGTAGAGAAAGAGTTGGGTGGGGTGGGGCCTTAGTCCAGTGATCTGTCACCAAGAAATATGAGTAGGATGCCGGGGAAATGTTTGGAGAAACGAAGCTGCGTTTCTTCCGAAACTTGTCTTTGAATGTTTTTTTTCTTATGGAAACATAACCGAGTGATTCTCAAAATCCAGTTACTCAAAAAAAACCTAGCTTCAGAAGCTTCACGCGACTAATACGTAGAGGGAGGCGCGGGTAAATGAGGGCTCGGGGAACACAGCCTCATCGCCTGCATTGGTGGTTCAGTGGTAGAATTCTCGCCTGCCACGCGGGAGGCCCGGGTTCGATTCCCGGCCAATGCACGTTGTTCTTTTTTTTTTTCCTAATTAAAGTAAGGCTTTGCTATTCATTGAAAATCACTTCTGAAGTCTTGTGAACTTTGGATCTGTAGTTAAACCAGCGCTCTGGCTCAGTCTGAACGAATATTTTTCACGTATCACCTGCCAAGAGGCAGACGCCGGGAGGGCCCCAACCTGCTCTGCTCTTGCGGTTCGTCTGTGGGTTATCTTCCTGGATCCCAGGAGGAGAGAGGCCAAGGGACCCCCCAATTCCTTGATGGAATCAGGAAACGAAGCCATGGATGGAAAGCAAACCAGCATATATAAAGAAGGGCGCCCCCCCCATCCGTGAATGTTTGGGGCAGACATTTTGGACGTGGTCATAGACGCTTATTAATTGTTGATTTATTGATTAACTATACATATAGGACTTTGTTATTTGTTCTTTTTCCTGTTTAGAGGATAGATAAATGCTTCTGAATGGAAAAGGAAGTTAAAAATTTTTTAAGATAAAATGCATAAATTAAAGTGTATAATCAATTATAATTAAACATTAATGAAGTCCAGACCCCCTTTTCCAGCTCTACCCAAGCTCAGACATTGCAAGAACATGGTTTGCTCTCACTAGGGAATGACCTTCACCTCTGGGCACCCTGGCCTAGGACACTGCACTCCGTCCTATTTTAGGGGCTTATTGACAATAGAATGGGATGACTAGATCCCTGGAAAACACCGACAGGATAGGGAAGGACTGAGGGCTTTTTAATGGGAAATGAAAATGAAAGCAAAACGTTCTTTCATCTCCCCGTCGGGGAATCGAACCCCGGTCTCCCGCGTGACAGGCGGGGATACTCACCACTATACTAACGAGGAGTGCGGTGCCGAGCTTTTTATTAGTTTCTTCAAGTGAATGAAAAGAGGTTTTTGTATTGCCTTTTATATTTGTAATAAGCATCTCATTTTATTAGATTTATTTTAATGTTTTATTGTTCTAACTTGTTCCTATATTAAAAATATTTACAAATTACTCTCCCTTCATGAGAGATCTTGTAAAAAAAAATGTAATAATATAGTTTGACTTCGTCTGAAAATGCATGCACCACTTCACCCGTATCGACCCCCACCTCTCTATTGAAATAAATGAACAAATCTGTTTTCTCTTCCACCCCAAAATACAGGGTACTAACCCCAAATTTCCATCAAAGGAGTGAAACTCGTTGTTCTGAAAGGAAATACAATAGAGACTATACTTTTTGACCGTAAAATTGTCTAGAAGAAAGAGAATCAAATCTGAATATTCCGCGGACTAACGGGCTTTCCCTTAGGATAGATAATGAGAGACTAGAGGGGCAAAGATTATGTCTTGTGACAAAAGCTTAATGAAAGTTATTTCCCTGACCGGGAATCGAACCCGGGCCGCGGCGGTGAGAGCGCCGAATCCTAACCACTAGACCACCAGGGAAGATGGTGACTGCCCCTCTTCCCGTTCCTCCATAATTGTTGCTAAAAAGACGTAACTTTTAGGCGTATCTGAATTCTTATTGATGGCTCTCTCCTTCCTGCTTCTAAAGAAGTTAGGTGCTGCCTGGAACCTTCATTGCGCCTGCGCCACGCGCTATACTATGCTTCCACCAGCCAGATAGCCAAGGAAATCAATTAACAAGCTCCAAACACACTTTTCCATCTCTCAGAGATGGGAATGAATTACGAGGGAACTTCGGGCTCCCTCAGAGGAAGGAGATGAGGGTCGGACTGATGCTTAAAGAGGGTGCAAGCAAAGATTCTGTAGACGGACCTAGAGAGAAGGTGGAGTAACGGACATCAGTCCAGGTCGGTTCGTCCCTCGAGTGAAAGCAAAACTGAGGTTCCAGAGGCCTCCGGATAACCTGTGGGGGGCGCCGTTTAAAAGATAAACAAATAAAAATAATTTTAAAAATTTAATTTCCCCCCAAAAGCAGGCCTGCGTTGGCCGGGAATCGAACCCGGGTCAACTGCTTGGAAGGCAGCTATGCTAACCACTATACCACCAACGCAGCTGTTTAGAGCGCCGTTCATAATTCCATATCAAGCCAACCCTGAAAGATGTCACTGCCCGTTGTTAATCCTCGTTTTTTTCCGATATTCACAGATTTCAACAGTCTAGAAAACGAGCGGCTGTGCCGTAGCTGCTGTACCTGAGAAGCTGAGAGGCCTCCTACCTTTGTCTCTCCCCACCCTCTGGAGAATGAGGCGGTTGGTACGGTTGTTGCTTTCCAAACACTGCAGTCTATGTTTGCAAAATTTTCGGTGATTTGCGTTGGTTCCTTTTCATTTGAGCTTTATGAGATATTCGCATTAAAAAAAAAAAATGAACGGAAGAAGGGACTCCTTTATCCTTAAAAATAATGACAGAAAGGATGAGCGGTCAAGGTGAAAATGGTGAAGATGTTGGTTTCACGTTGGTAAGTTTCAGTTCATGCCTTTATTTAGAAGTTGAATGAATAAAGCCAAATAGCAAACTATAGTGTCTCCTAATTAGTGCGCCACCAAAGATTATGAGCTGCAATAATAATAAAAATACAAACGCTCATCAAAGTAAGATTGAATAGAAATACAGAATACCAACGCACATCAAAATGCTTTAAAACAGAAATAAGTCAACAAGCCTTCATTAAGGGCCTGCTACGTGCCTGGCACTGGGGAGACAAAGAAAAGCAAAAGACAGTCCTTGATCTCAAGAAGCTCAACCTAGGGGAGGAAGGGGGAGGAAAATTTAAAACTCAAAAGCATATGGAAGTGATTGTTGATAAATCAAAATTAATTAATTTAAAAAACAGAAAAAAAAAAAACAGAAGAAGCAGCAGCTCAGCCTAATGGGAGAGAAAACATGTCTTTGCTTGAGGCAGAATACTAACTTCATTTTCTAACAAAAAACCCATGGGCTATCCTTATCCCATGACAATCTGCTGTATAAAAGTGGGTTGTCGTCGCTTCATTAGTCCTTCAGCAGATTTCCCAAATAACTTATATGTATACATCTGGACAGGTCAATATGGTGCTCGTTGGGCCAGGCAGGTCACTTAGCTGCTGAGTTGGCTCTCCTCTTCAGACTTGGCTGACCCAACCTGGAAGCATATTGACCTGTCCAGCTGAGATGCTGTGCCCTACAAAAAATGAGCCCAGCTAATTGGAGGGCACTGCCAGCCACAGTTTTCTGGAAGAAGAGTACTTCAGCCTAGCAGCAGAGCAAAGCCAGGAAATACCAGCTTTTGCCACACCAAGTGAACTTGGTTAGTAGAATGTTGGTAGATACCATTTTAAAGTCTACTCTCCTTAGCTTCCTCTACCCCCTCAAGATTACCTCTAGACCTCTGAGGAGAGCAATTCTTGGTTTGGGGGACCTGCCCTATTAGTCAGAATAAGAGCTGGGAGCCCCCACATGTTGTATCCATTCAAAAAATTCCAAAGGCTGATAGCCCCAGCTTTTTGCAGACTACCTAAAGACCCTAATAAATAGTTTGACCTGATAACCCTAAGAATAGTTTGGGGATATTTGGGGATGAGGGTTGGTTGGGGTAGAGTGTATTTGGGCTATAGATTTAAACTTCAGCTCCACGTTGCAAACAAAATAACTTGTGGAAGAAAGATTTTCAGAGGCACAGAGAGCAACTCTGACCTTCTTTCTCCTAAGTAGAAAAGTTTAAAATTACTTTAATTTAAATTAATAAAATTGTTTCCAGCAGGCAGGTGACTAAAACAGTGTTGGTTTTTTTGTTTGTTTTTGTTTGTTTGTTTGTTTTTTTGTTCACAGAAAGTTTGAAGTTAAATTCTGCATAGACTTTAATCTTTCAAGGCTATAATTCACAAGATAAACTGTTAGCCAAAAATGCATGACCTAAGTTCATATTTAAATTTTAAACAATAAATAGATACTCCTAAATATAAGAAGCATTTCTTTTACCTGGCTTGAGAGATTTCCACTGAAAAATGTGACGTATAACTCTAATTTTTATGTCCTATCATCACATGTGACCTAGGCTCCATTAAGTCTGTTAAGTGTATGACCAGTTTCTCATTTTGCACACTAGATGGCGACCAGTTCGTTTTACTCTTAGTTCAGAAACCATCAACTACGGTCCCTCCGCAGTTTGTTAGTTTT